AGCCTAAAAAAATAGTAGTTTTTTTAATGCTAAATTGACATTTTTCATCCAATCAAAAAAATCCTAGTTCAAGGTATGACAAAACATGTACTGAACACGCTGAAAAAAGTTTCGAGTCGATGCAATAATTTGTATTCGAGTTAGAGCTGCAGCAAATTTGAAAAATACCGTTTTGAGAAAAACGCGATCCATCGGCGGTAAGCGCGTTTCTGACATGCCAGCAGTTACTCTTTAGAACGCTGCCATTCCTAAACTATTTAAGATTCGACCTTAAAATTTTTATATGATATTCTAGAGAGTATAGACTTTCAGAAAATGCAAAAAAAAAGTCGATTTTTCAAAAGTGTTACACTGGTATGGCCCCTTAAAGCTAGTATCTTTTTCGTAACAAAAAGATATCGAATTAAATTTAAATTTAATGTTTATAGATAAGAAACAAAAGTCCAACTATTTTACTTTATGTCTGCCATATACTTAATTAATTGTCAAAGTCCTACCTATGTAGGTATTATTTAATTTGAATGAAAAGCGAAACGCATTTGGTACGTGATGGGGGTGATATGGCCACTAATTCTGTATAAAATAATGTATAAATTAACAGAAAAATTTGTATAATCATTTTGTATGTTTATTTGATGTATAAATGTACAAATGTTATGTAATAATTTTACAAATGTACATAATTATCAATATTTAATTAAGTATCATGTTTTTGATTAATAGAACAACCAGTAAAATTAACTATAATTAGTATTTCTTTGATACAATATTTTTGTCCCGCTAGATTGGCCAAATGTCACATTCTGCGCCGCGATCACACAGTTGTTCGCACACTCTGTAACGGACATCTTTCTAACAGACACAAGAGCAAAAGAACGCAGAATGCGGGGGCGGCTCATGCTCGTAGAGTGCAAGGATGGTACCACGCTCCCACCCAGTGGGATCATCGCGGAAATATCGCCTACTAGATGTGAAAAGGTTTCACCGCGATCGGTACATTCCTTGCAGAGTACATGTGCGGTGCACGTGGAGGTCGTTCGACTTTGTGTTGTCCTTGGAGGATCGTGAGTGCAAGTCGGCAACTACCTGATGCTAAGGCATTGATGTAATAGTTAGTTAAGTTAATTCGAAGTTTGCAGACCCGTGTACTGCAGGGAGTTCCAGTTTTATGATGCGAGAAGGAGGACCCTTCGTGAAACGATACATTAAGTTCTTTGTGACCAAAAAAGGCTCTTTGGTCACAATGTAGAAATTGGAAATGTTTTGAAAGGATCGTAAAGTGTCTATCGAGTGCTACATAGATGATGTGCATGTTTTCGGGATAGGTGACTCTTGTTCGAAATTTTTTGTATTTGATGTTTGAAAGTATCCAGATTAGGTGATAATTGCATTTAAGCGTCGAATTGCCACTCCGACCTGCCTAAGAGAACTCTTTGCAATTGCCGGAGCGATATAGCTACTCAATGGATGTGCTCAAGGACATGAGTCCAATCCTCTCCTGGTTGAGATAGTAAATAAAACATAAAATATCTGCGTCGACATGTGCTAGCCTTGCATCGTCGAACAAGTCGTATACATAAATGCAGGTATTCCTCAAGTTACGACCTTCTCGACTAACGACATTTCGCATTTACGACCGTAAAAAAAGCTTTTCTTTTGCAATGTTGCAATGTGGTTCACAGAAACAATGCATTTGTTTACAGCGTCGTATGCGACGCTTTTATTATATATATTGTTTGAAACTAAGTACATATACCGTAAGCCATTCGCAATTTATTCAATTTAAAAAAAGGATATACATATATATATATATATATATATATATATTGTAACGTGGTGACACCCGTGCCCCCCCCCCCCGTTGCAATCGCTGCGATTTCCCCACTTTACACCTCCACCTCAAAACCACCCGTAACCCTTCCCTCACCTAACCCTTTCCCCCTGCTCGCCGGTATCGGGCCGATGGAGGCGACGGAAAACCCACAAGGAATACCCGCAGAAGGAGCTACGAGGCCGGCGACAGACCCCTAACCCGACCTCCAAGGAAACGGAGCAACGTGGGACTGCGAAGAAATAGACGAAGCTGCCCAGATAATGCAAAACGTCCATCCGGAGCCATCTGACGCCGAGCCCGAAGACCTCAGCCCAGCCGTCATCGCGGGATATCCGCCAGCCCCATCGACACCGAGCACCGGTGTATCGAAGATCGATAATCGATCTATCCCGTGGCCGGAAGAGGCCCCTTCCTAGACCCATCCCCTCCCCAAACCATCCCGCGACGGTTTCGTCGTCGCAGCAGCGACGGCGAACCGTCATTGAGCACTAGGCTAAGCGAAAGAAAGCGTGTAGAGGATTTTGAGAGTTGAGACGAGAGATTTATAGAGAGCAAAGAGTGAATTGGAGAGGCGCGTGTGAAAAGTTTGGGTGAGTCCCTCGGATTTAAAATTAATTGTAAAGCGAGATCGAGGCAACGGCCACCTTCGCCCGCGTATTTTCGTGTTCGCGTATTGCCGCGAGTTTCTAGAGATTCCCGCGTTTGCGAAACCCGGGTCCAACCCTTAGTATTCCCCCCCCTTGTAGTGATCCTCTTACGCGTAACGTGCGAACCTCTTGGGAACCCGTCCTAACCCTGAGATCTCCTCTCCCCCAACAATCCTCCTTGCGTACTCCCCCGCGAAGTATTGTAAGGGCGTAAGTGCCCCGAGGCCCATCCCCTGTACAACACCCGTGATCACCCCTTTTCCCTTTCGATTTTGAACGCCACGAGACGTGACTGGCGCCCAACGATTATAAACGATCCGGAAAGATTGAAAGTTGTATTGGAAAATTTGTATAGGGTGAACCCCCGAAGCGGGTCACAATATATATATATATGAACTTATTTTGTATGAAACTCAATTTATGACGAAGGTTCCAAAACGGAATCCCGTAGTAACTCGAGGAATACCTGTATTAAAAAACATATGCCTATTTCGAACATAATGTCTACTACTTTCTTAATTTTACGAAATTTCTGCGGCTCGTAACTAAATTAACATATAGTATTTTTTATGTCAAAATCAGGTTTGTAGAACTTGTGACCAAAGAGAAAGAAAGCATCGCACATTCAGAATATAAAGAAATAATGCCTAAGAATGAATTAATTTTTATATCAGTTTGTTACTACTGGATATTAATATATATATACAACAAATTACTTCTAATCGATATTATACTGGAATGAATACTGAAATAAAAAAACATCATCATTGTGAGCTTTGAATAACCTTGTAATGTATGTATGTACATACAAGTTAAGTTGCATATACGAGTACATATCTTCTACAGCAGCAGCCTGGTTAGTCCGTGCAGTCTGCGTACTATGTACATGAAAATTTTCAAAATTGTAGGACAAATCTATCATATTATATATCAATGGATTTGAAAAAGAATGTCGGTTCTTTTCTATTATTATGTAAACTCTTGTAACTTTTAAAATAATGTAACAATAAATTGTTATGTTATAAACAAATTGGTTTTTGCAAAATCCGTGAATATCTTTTGTTTTCTTATATCTATAATATAGGAATATTGTTGCGACGACGAGAAGCTGTTATTTTGTCATTATTTGAAAAGGCCCTGCGGGAAGCTGGCGTAATGAAGCTACTAAATTACTTATCGTTAGTTCGAACGGAAATGTATTATCGGTGAATTTGGGTCGCTTGGACCACCGCGCGGTATTTCAATGTAGAAAAGGTCTCGAGAAGCCGATGTGTACAGACCTGCGAATTGTGTTCTAGTGTTGAAATATATTGTTTGCTTTTGGTTTGATTGTTGAAATTATTAATGGATACTATAATGCAAGCACCACTCCTCGGCTCAACAATATTATATCTTATATCTATGATATATGTAATTTCCGAGATAGCATTTCTCAGCTGCAATTTTAGGGGGCAATTTAACCACCTAAACTTGCGATTACAAAAAACATACGTATCTCTTATATTTGCCTGCTTAATATATTTACCAATTTTCATCATAATCGGAGACGGACAGTCTCAATGATATGATATGATTCCTTGCGTGTTAGCTTTTAACAGGTTAAACTTTGAAGGGTGATATCATCCCTTCAAACTGAGTTACCACAGCTAAAAAATATTTTTGATTAGTTTTGAAAGCAGCAAAGTTTCATTAAAATCAAAGTCTATGTGTCTATTATTTTTGACTAGTTTTGAAAGCTGCAACGTTTCATCAAAATCAAAGTCTGCCATTCAAAATCTTTCTATGTCAATATCCCTTAAATACAGGGATAAATACTAATGCAGTTGCTTTAAGTGGTAATATAGGCGGGACGCTGAGCAACCGCCCTGACGCGGAGTATCACTGTCGGTACTTCGTCCCCCGCGAAGCTATTTCGCTTTCTGTCTTGATAAAAAAATCGATGTTGCAACTTTCTCCGGGAGGTTTTTCAAGATAAAAATCTGCTCTATTGTGTGGTATAATCCGATTTTACGCTGGACATCTACTTTTTCAGATGAACTGAAAAATATCCTAAAAAATTGGTGCCAAATCGGGGTTCCTCCGCGTTCAATGATCGTTTAAACGTACTACTGAAGACAACAAATATAATAAATTGCGAAAAAAGAGCATATTCAACAGTATATGAAATCTAAAATACAAGTAAACAAAGAAAAATAATATAAAAGAAATAAAATTTGGAAAAACATCAAATTTTATGAAAATTTAGAAAAATTTATAGAATTTTAATAAAGGTGCAATCTGTATTTGATGATATTTCGCCAATGATATTGTATCGTCATAAAACTCAACGCACTCGAATAAAAGCAATAAATTCTATATAAGAGCCAATTTAAAAGTTAGTATCTGTGAAAGACGTTTGTGTTTATTTACAAGAGCTTCGTGTCGTGTTGTAAGAATTGCACAATTACTTTCTATTAAAATGTACACTTTGACCCATGATATTGGGTTATCATTCGTCTCAGATTTAATATTCGGCATCAGCTGAAGTTTACCTTAGTCAACAGGATCGTTCAATTGCAGAAGGATCGTTCGTTTGTCAACATATAGGACAATTATAGAATTGGTCACTCGAAGAATACCTTTTAAAATCTGCAAGTTCTATCAATTTTAAATTAATTCGGTAATTCTGTCTGAAAAAGGTGAAATCTCTCAATGCGGTGTATCGGTTGACGGATTTTTATTAAATTATTGCAATTTAGGGAGCAGTGTTGCAAAGGTAACGTACTATTAATAGAAATAAAAAATATTTATAATGTACACATGAATTTTTATAAAATAATCATTTTTTCAATTTAGTAAAAAATTGTTAAAAAGTGTTACGTATTATAAAAGGAAACCAAATTTATCTTGCAATTATTTAAAAAACAAATTTCTTTGTTAGATCATTAGAATAGAAACCCAGCGTTTTCCAGATATTGTTTAAATAAACAATAATAAATAGTATTCTCGTTCGAATTTGATAAAAAACTAATTTTCTTCGATACTGACGATTAATAGGTACCATTTTATCTAAAAAAAGGTAAAAACAAATATACTTTGAAATTAGCCGTGGAAAACTAATTTAAGTAATTTAATTGTAGTACCATCTTTAAAACTTAGGGGAATATGCAATAATAAATAATACTTTCCTTGGAATTGTATAGAAAGTTACTTGTTTCTGTATAACAGGATATTAATTTAAAAAAAAATCGTTTCATCTAAAGATGAAAAACGATTTATTTTTAAATTATATACAGAAATTTATTTCATAACCAACTTCGAAAAAGGAGGAGGTTACTCAATTCGATCAGTATATTTTTCTTTTTCTTTTTTTCTTTAATGTATATTTACCGATGATTCCGAGACGGATGGACCAATCGGAACGAAATCTCTTACATCTTCCAGAGTATGTCTCCCGATTGGTCCCGTTAAAAAACATTTAGCATTTTTTCATTTCCAACGACTTTTATCGCAAAAAACGTAATGCTTCATTTATATTTTTCGGCGTTTACTTTGCAAGGAATGTACCAATCGCGATGAAACCTTTCATATTTAGTAGGCGATATTTCCGCGATGATCCCACTTGCAAAAATTTATTTCATTAACCATCTAAATTCGATCAGTATATTTTTTTTTTTTGTGGTTATCGCCTAACCAATAAAAACGTAAAGCCACCTTACGGTATTCCACAAATACTGCTCGTTCCACTAAAAAGTGTGAAATAAAATAATTGTTATTAAAAAATACAACCGAATTCAAAATGCGCTGAAACGTATAAAATAATTTCTATTTCATTTATGCCAATACTCCTCAGTTATTAATAAAACCCATTTAATCGTTAAATAGTATACTAAATACATTTCAACCTTTTCGGAGGCGGCACAAAATTCCAGTTCAGGTGTCGGCAATCTATAACTCGCGGATCGCCAACTGACCCAAGTGGATTAACTATATGTACATCAGAAGTGCTGCCAATTTCTGATACAATCTTTACAATTACAAATGTTTTCTACCGTATCTATAACATTCCGTATTTTTCCTTACAACTTACTAATTATTACCAAGTTCGCCATACCGCAATCAAATCGTTATTGGCAGCATCGTTTATTCGGGTATTTTTAATTTTGCGCCACCTCCGAAAAGGGTGAAATGTATTGAATATACTATTTAACGATTAAATAGGTTTTATTAATAGCTGTGGGGTATTGGTATAAATGAAATAGAAATTATTTTATACTTTTTAGCGCATTTTGAAGGCGGTTGTATTTTTTGTTAAAAATTATTTTATTATTTCTAAAACTAAAGATAACTAAAGAAATGTATGTTTTATACCATTAAGATAGTGTTTTTTAAAATATTATCGACATAAATAATCATTAATAATATCCCCCTTGAAGTATTGTGAAAAGCTGATTTTTCTTTATCTAGTAGAAGATTAATAAAAGAATAACACTGTATTATTTTATTTGAATGGAAAACAAGTTTATCTTGAAACAAAAATTAAAAAATTACTTTTCCTATCATTTGAAACAGGGACCCAATATTTTTTACAGAATTGTTGAAATAAGTGATAATTAATAATACCCGCTTTAGCATATTATAAAAAATTAATTTTCTTCAACAAATAGAAATATTAATATAAAAATGGTATTTATTCTATCTAAAAGAAGTAAATCCCAGATTTACTTTCTTTTAAAAAGTTAATTTTTTTACCAAAAATTCAATTTTCATACCATTAAAAAAGAGACAAAAGATACAATACATTGTTTGAAAAACTATGTTCCTGATATGTAGATGCGTAATTACTTACATTTTTTAAACTACATTTTATATTAGATGTTTCAAAGTTTATAATTATTTTTTAAATAATTTAAAATGTCGATAAATTACTAATTAGTTTTTGTTTATGTTTATTCAAGGCTGCAACATGACAGACTATTTCCAAATTTTCTGTAGCCTTGCAGTGGTGCTGCTTTCAATCTACTACTACTACACTTCCACTTTTGATTTCTGGAAGAATCGTAATGTTAATGGTCCTAATCCCACTTTCTTCTTTGGTAACTTGAAAGAGGTTGCTTTTAAGCAACTGTCAATGACGGAATGTTTGAAGAAAATGTATGATCAATTCAAGCATGAACCAGTGTTTGGAATATATCAAGGAAGAACACCAACTATTGTTATCACTGACCTAGAACTGATCAAAAACGTTCTCATCAGAGACTTTCCAATATTTGCAACACGAGGATTAGGTTACTCTAAAAAGGTATTGCTATTCAATATAACTAACTTTTTTTTTACTCGCTATTAAATCATTGACTGCCTGTAGGGTCACCAGTGATAAACTAATTAAAGTGATATTAACCGTAGGACCGGATTTAGGTTTTTGGAGCCCCAAGGTTATCAAACCTGATAAAATCTTAATATATTTAAAATAAACACAAATGAATACAAGGAATGAAAAGTCAAAAATAGTACATAACTAACTTATAATAGGATAATGAAACAAAAATAACTACGCTTTTCTGGCGCTTCTATCATGATGCCCTTTTCTATAAAATGGCAGACCACTCTACTAACAGACGCAAAAGTAACTAGGCTCACAGCCGGCCCCAACAGAGACCGCCAACGGCAGCACCGTTCGGCGCCTTGCCATATTCAAAGACATCACTAGAGAAAGTGAAGATGGCTGAAGCGCAACATCCATCGAAACCTTTCTCGGCCTTCTTGGTTTATAAACTTCGTTCACAAATTGAAATTCATTCGAAATAAAATTGAATAACATTTAATCATAAAGAAACAGGGTAACAGTAAAAGAAATTTCAGTGAATATTTTTTGCTATAGTAAAAGGACAGCTTAGAATGGGTTTCCTTGCAAAATGAGGCGCGGGACTGTAACCCCCCCCTTCAGCCTTCAACCTTAATGCGGCATTAGTCTTAATAAATTTTCAATAGCACAAATATTTACAAAATTCATCCTAGCTATCGCTTAAAAATTATAAAAAGCACCCTTAAATGTACTTCAAGTGAAATCAATTTTCATATTTCAAAATTATTTTACTAATATACGACTCTTTCGTTTAAAAATTATACATTTAAACTTAGGTTAATATTCTTGTATATGGTTTGTACGTTTTGATCACGATTGGTCGAGGACCTGATGTTCAAGGGTTAAGAATTAAAGTGCAATGTTATAATTATATTTATAGGTAGAACCACTGGAGGAGCATCTCTTCTTCTTGGACGCTGAAAGATGGCGATCATTGAGACCAAAATTCTCACCAGCTTTCAGCACCGGGAAACTCAGAGATATGTTCCCTCTCATAGCAAAATGTGCAGAGAATCTGGACAAATACATGGAAAAAGTTATTGGAGAAGGTGGCCAAGTAGAATGCCGTGAATTAGCAGGCAAATATACCACTGATGTGATTGGTAACTGTATCTTTGGAATCGACATAAGTACCCTTCCAAATGAAGACAGTGAATTCCGAGAAATGGGCAGAAGAATATTTAAACCTTGTAAACAAATGGTAATTAGAGATACGCTTAAACAGTTTCTACCTCGTTTATACAATTGGGTCGGCCATGTACTTCAACCTGAAGGGGTCATTCAATTCTTTACAAGAGCTATGTTGGATACCTTGAAATATAGGAAAGAGAATAACATATTCAGACCAGACTTCATGAACGCGCTATTAGACATTCAGCAACATCCTGAGAAAGCGCAGAGTCTTAGTAAGTAGAATAGAATCCAGTAGTTTCATATGTTCAAATTAAGTTTCGTAAAATTAAAATTATTAAGTTTCGCGGTTCACCGTTGACTAGGGTTGACAACCGTACTATAATATATAGTATTGGTCTATATTTTCGGCTGGTGTACTAGATATTGCTAGAAAAAGATATATCAGTATTTCTGATATACAGTAATGTTCGGTTAAAACTACGTTCGGGAGTCAGCAGTGAAATTAACGCGAGCAGGGTAGCGTTTTTGTTCCGAGAATTGACTCGAGCAGAACTTGACAGAGTAAGAGAATAGATACGATAGGAGGAAACGAGATAGACGTACTACGTCTAGCAGCGACGGTCGAGGCACGGCGCTTCAAAGGAATGCCCTGAGCGGAAAAAGTAAACATGCAATAACGAGAATTTCACTATCAGTAATTTTCAACTTCTTTTTATGAATATTATACCATTGGATTATTGAGATACTTCTAATTAAAATAAGTCCAAACACGACGTAAATCGGATTATATTTACGTTATCCAATAAATACATAATGAATCACGTAGAGTAAATCATAATGAATCATGTAGAGTAAATATGGTTCAAATTATATCGTGTTTGGACTCATTTTAATCGGAAGAATGTCAGTTATTCATTGGTGTTACAATTATAAAAGTAAGACGAAAATGACTGAAAATAAAATTTTCTTTACTGCATGTTTACTTTTTCCAGTCGCGGCATCCATTTGATGTGCGTCTGTTCTCTTTCTTTTCATTGTATTCATTTTCTGTCCTTGTCTACTGCGACCAGGTTTCGTCGAGCTCGCTGCGCTGAGTGGTGGGAGAAGAGTAGGGCTGGGTCGTGGAAATTTAACCGAGCAGATTTTAGTGAAATTTAACCGAGCGTTACTGTATCGATAAAATTCTAAAATCTGTACTTACTTTGTAATAATCTTAGGCTACAATGCTACATACAATATTCTTAAGTTGGCATGTATTTGCATAACTAGTTGAGCCCAACCTGACCAATCTAAAAATTTGGACTAACCCTTCCCATAAAAAAGGGGACCTTCATAATTTAAAAGTTTTAATATTCCAAAATATTAATACTTCAAAATTACAAAATTAAAGAAATTCTGAGATTCTAAAGTCCTAAACATTCAAAATATCAGAATTCTAGAATTTCAAAATTTCCGATTTTCTAAATTGCAGAATTACAAGATTACAAAATTTTGAGATACTAACATACAAAAATTCTAAATTTTCAGAATTACAAAATTTCAAAGTTCTGAAGTTACCAAATGTCAGAATTACAAAATTACCTACTTCAAAAATTCTAAAATTTCTAAATTTCTAATCGACCAGGCCCACTCCAAAGAAAGATTCAAGTTACGCCAATGTCATTTTTAACAACTTTTATTAACAGACTTATGTATAGTTAACCGCAAAAATGTTTATATTCCGATGTATCATGAATGTCTGTATATACAAGGTGCTAAATATTTATTTCTTGTGAATAGTGTTAAAAATAAAATGCAGTATTTGAATACTGTACAGAACCATTTATCATTAAATGCTGCTTATTCTAAGTTAAATATGCACATGTTTTCTAACTATTTTATTGTAAATATAAAAACTTTTTATATTCTATCCAGCCGTTTAATAGTTTTATAAAATACTACATAATATATCTTTTTAGAGATAAAGTAGTATATCTTAATATTAAATTGTGATAATATATATTATACACAGTTGTTACATAATAATAACAATTTTTATTTTTGTTCTGCAGAACTCACAGATCAGTTGCTCGCAACTCAAGGATTTGTGTTTTTTGTGGCTGGATTTGAGAATACATCGTTGACTATATCTCATGCTCTTTACGAATTAGCTCAGCATCATGAAATACAGGATAAATTGAGGGAAGAAATTAGAGATGATTATGAAAGGCATGGTGAAACTTTAACGTACCATCGAGTTAATGATATGAGATACTTGGACAAGGTATTCAAAGGTACCTATCACTGAAACGAGTAATATAAAAGAATAAACTTAGCAATAATAATTTCACATAGAATGTTTAGATGGTTTCATAGTTAAAGTTTTGCAAAGATTAAAAATTGAATGATAAGAGTTTATTGTACTGCCAGCGTCGAATAAGGGGACGTTCAAATAGGGCTACAGCCATGTATCTCCCTTTCCAAGAGGCCTCGTTATAAGCCTTCCACTTACCGTGTAAAAAAATATTTAATGACATTTTTCTGTACTGTTCTCCCTTTTCCTTTACGTCTAAATGGTATTTACTTTAATTTGAAATAAATAAATGATACCCCAGAAAGCTTAATTCGGTCCTGTACGCAGTCACAATGTCTGCGAGTTTATAAATTAACTAAAGTTTATTAATAAACGAAACAATTAAAGGGAAATAAAATTTAATTCATGTATTAGTCACCGTTAATAAATTAAATAATGTAATTGTAATATACAATATTAAATTACAAAATTATATTTGTTAGGATAAATTCTGTTCATACTCAAATAAAATAATTCTAAAACAATTACTAAAAATTATGGTCAAAAAATATTTCTACTTGTGTACCTTTTAATAATTATTTCTTTTTTTTTATATATAGAAACACTAAGGAAGTATCCAGTACTGACATCGTTAGCACGAGAAGTATTGGAGAATTATACGTTTAAAGGTACGAATGTTACCATTCCAAAGGGGACGAAAGTGTGGTTACCAATATTTGCAATCCAACGAGATCCAGATATTTACCCAGATCCTGAAAAATTTGACCCTGAGAGATTTAGTGATGAAGCTGTTGCTGCTAGACATCCAATGAGCTATTTACCATTCGGTGATGGACCAAGAAACTGTATTGGTACCTTATTATTATCTACATTTTCAGTATAATATTCTCTACAAATTAATATAGTACACAACAGTCAACATATTTATACATACTGTAGTATTCTAATCACTGGCATAACTAAATACGGGTCATCTCATAATTCTGAAATTTCAGAATTTCAGAATGTAAAAATGCCAGAATTTCCAAATTTTAAATTCAAAATATTTCGGGATTTCCAAGTTTTAAGTTTCTAATTTCAGGTTTAAAAAATTGTATAATTTCTAAGTTTTATAAGTTCAAAATTTCAGAGATAAGTTCAAAATATCAAAAATTTCACAAACTAACACGTATCTAAAATTAAATACTCTTCATACGTAGAGTGGCACGACAACCATTTATTCGAGGCGCACTTAGGAACAATTTCGTCGTTGCGAAAGGATTAATAATTCGAATGTTGAATTTTTCAATGTAGACTTTCAATCTACAATAATAGCACTATTAAAGATTATCCTGAAATGATTGAAAAATATACATACACATTACATATTAATATTTGTAAAAAGTGTTCAAATTATACATTCTTAATTATACAAATTAAAAACTATAATAATTACATAATTGATCGGATTTCTAATTTATACTTTTAGGAGCTCGATTTTCACAAAATCAGATTAAACTTGGAATTATGGCAGTCATCCGAAAATATCAAGTTGATGTTTGCGAAAAAACTATACTTCCATTCCAACATGAGAAACGTACGTTAATGTTAATGATGAAGGGAGGAGTAAACCTGACATTTACAAAAGTAGAATATTGATAAGAATAATCTACTGAATCTATTATAAGGGTTATACATAGTTTTAATTACTAACGAATGAATGGATACAATGCAAGAAAACGTTATCTTTAATAATAATAATAATAATAATAATAATGTTATTGATTACTTAATGTAATAAACATGTGTGAAGCAACAAATACGTATTCATGGTAAAATTTAATAAATATTATGTGCATGAATATGAAACGTTTGATACACATTCTAGCTCTACATACAATGAATATTGATTTCCTATACCTCCGTATTTATAAGATGGAGGTAGAAGAAATAGTAAGATTATCACGATTTACTAGCAGAAACAAGTACAATAGATCCTCATTATATTGCCGCGGACAGGGTTGTAGGAACGAATAATTTTTCAAGTTTTCAAACTTTCAGCCGGAGGGGAAAGGGAGATGAAATAGTATCATTTTGAAAATGTCAGTAAAGATCAAATCGCTCACGTGGCAATATAACGAGGATCTATTGAAATTCGAACACTATAACTTAGAAAATTTCTTATTATCTTGAACTTCGGTCGTTTAAGGTTTCGTTTAATGATTACAATAAGGTTAGAAACCTAATTATTTTGAAAATATTTATTTGTCAAAGAGGAACATATTCTTAAAACAAGTAAGTAAAAAGTATGAATGATAAATTAAAAAATATGAATGATAAACTAAATACTTCGAACAATAAACTAAAATATACGAATGATAAATTAAAAAATATGAATGATAAACTAAAAACTTCGAAAAATAAATTGAAATATACGAATGATAAACTAAAAAATGAAGAATTTAAAAAAAAATAATACAATGATTTTTCTTAATTTTTGGATTCCTGAGAAGTGGACATTTCACCATAACTTGCAGAAAATATGTCTTCTGTGTCCTTTGATTTCATAAAATCTTGTGTAAGTTTTAATATTTTCGCCCTATATGATATTTTATCATACGATGACAGGTTTTTTATGTGTGGTATTAAGCTTTTAACAAAATTTAGGTCATCATCTTCTACTTCTCTTTGTCGTTTCTTGTTTCTAAATATTTCAATTTTTTTTTTCTAATTCCAAGGTCTTTTTTTAATTTTCTTTTTTTCATATATTATAGTCGCAAAAGAACTCGATGAATTAAGTTCAGTCTCTTCAGGTTCTATTAATATAGTATCCCCTTGATAAATTTCTAGCACATTTTCTTCGTTAACGTTTTTTGCCAAATTTCCTGTGGATTCTCTTGGGGTAAATTGATCTTGTAAGAAAGAAAGCTTTTCGAAGTATTTCCATTGGATACTGCTGTTATTCGAACTTGCAGCATCCCCAGATCTAAGTTTATGAATTTTGGAAAGGACGATTCGAAATTTATCTCTCAACGCCTTCCATTTATTTCGTACTATTAATCCTAGAAATTAAATGCGAGAAAATCACTATCATTACAGATTAACACACGCACTAAATTAGATTGTGACGATAATTATGTATATAATATGCTTTTTATAGGTACTTGTCTACGGGACAATCATTTAGAAGTTTAGCATTTTCCTTTCGTGTTGGAGTTACAACAATTTCAAAAATTGCAAGCGAAATGGTAAATATAATATGGACCATACTTCAACCAATTCATATGAAAGTGCCAACGCAACTTGATTTTAAGAATATCGCAGAGGACTATAATAATATTTGGAACTTTCCCAATTGTCTCGGCTCTATTGATGGGAAACACATTAGAATTAAATGTCCTCTACATTCTGGTTCTATGTTTTATAATTATAAACAATTTTTTTCGATTGTTCTTCAAGGAGTAGTAGATGCAAATTATAAGTTTATAAACATTGATGTTGGTGGTTATGGAAAACAGAGCGATGGTGGAACATTAAGATCTTCGGCTTTTTTTTTATATATGTCAGATGGACGTCTCAATATTCCAAATGACACTGCACTGCCGAATTCAGAAATTAGTGCACCTTATGTATTTATAGGAGATGAAGCTTATCCGTTTTTGAAAAATTTATTAAAACCTACAGTGGACAACAGTTAAACGCACACAAAGAATATTTTAATGCAAGATTGTCAGGAGCACGAAGAACCGTTGAATGGGCTTTCGGAATTATTTTCTCTAAATGGAGAATTTCAAGCAAAGCCATAGAAACTTCTGTAACTGTAGCAGACGATAATTGTTAAAGCTATTTGCGTCTTGCATAACGCTATTATTGATAAAGAAGGTATTGAGCATCATTTACAGAATTTATCAGTTGCAAGAAAATTAAAACCCTATGTAAATACTGTAAATACTTGTAAATAATACTCTTGAAAATACTTCCAAAAATTTACTGCAATAAAAATCATGTGTAATTATAATTAATGTAATATAGGAATAGTAATAATTTATACTTACGCGTTGTATTTAATTTAACGGCTACTTCTCTGATCCCGTAATGGAGATCTAATAAATACTTCACCGATTAATTTTTCAATGTCCATCTTCAATTTGGTTATGATTAATAGCAAAAATTATTGATAGGTATTTGTTTATCGTCGCGGCTGTACATAGTTCCGAATAGCCCCGGTGGCCGATCGACATGGGCTTTGGAGGGGGGAGAGGGGGGAGGCAGAAAACCCCAAATATAAAACGGTATCCACATCAGACCAGTAGTTCCGGAGATATTAATTAAAAACTTTCGCAGAATACATAGAATTTTGCCTATACAGACGTGACTAACACAACCATCCCCGCTATAGAAACCGTGGTCGTCAAGCGTGAAGCAGCCGATGGCACAGTAGGGGGTCTCGACCTGGGTATCTACAGGGTGTCGTATATGTATAAAGCACATTATTTTGTAAACTGTGGTTCACGTTTACATTAATCTCGTCGTTTTACTCGTTTTGATATGCTGAATACGAATATGATCTTTGTTTTTAATGGAAATAACAAGCTGTCAAACTATTTGCAAACAACTTTACATAGAATTTTACCCAATAATGTAAGGCACATGTAAGGCGAATTTGCCAGTTATACATATATGAACAGAAGGTAACACTTTGTTCGTCTACGAATATCAAACCGTAGTAGGTTAGGTTTGGTTATATTCTCCGTGGCGGTGGTGCCGGGGGAGGGGCAAAGCCTAAAACACAAGAATAATTACTTTAAATACAATGGTACAATGATCACAACTGAATGAGACACTCTATGCCACGATTTATATAATATTTATGCACTCGACGACCACGATTTCTACAGCGGGGATGGTTGTGTTAGTCATGTCTGTATAGGCAGAATTCTATGTATTCTGCGAAAGTTTTTAATTAATATCTCCGAAACTGCTGGTCTGATGTGGATACCGTTTGATATTTGGGGTCTTCCCCCCCCCCCCCCCCCCCCCCCCCCCCCCCCCCAACCTCCAAAGGGGGACCTCCTCCTCCGCCGGGGCTATTCGGAACTATACCCAAATTTATTAACGTCTTTAAATAAATGTTTTTTAATTAATAAACATATACACGATACGTCATGCAGTTTCTGACGGGTTATATCTTAAATTTGGTAAGAGATAGGAAAAAGCTGTTTATGTAAAAGTTCAATAGTATGATAATGTCTATTTTTCTGTGATTTCATTTTCTCCGTGAATGCAACGATACACTCAAAAAATGCAAATCCACTTTTTATTTAAATGGAATTGCATGTTTTTTTTACTTGTGTCAACTCCTTGAAACATTCTGCATAAAAAAGTACTATGGTATTATTAGAACTAATAAATGGAGGGACCTCGCGTCTACATATACAGTAAAAGCTGAATATATGCAACAGAGATTGGGAACCAGACGTTGCATACATCCAGCCGAGATATCGAATCTCGAATTAGATGCGACGACCAGCCAAGCGTGAACGTAGAAAGGGACAGACAGTGGAGGAGGGAGAGAGCGGTCTAATGATTAAAGGAAAGAGCCGAAACGTATCGGTGTGACTAATAATAATTCAATTATAAAACTTTTTTATTTTTGACTTTTTTTTACTGAAACTTTTACTAGCGCATTGGTGAAATTTTTCTGATTAAAATGATACCAAACACGATATAGTTTGAATGGGGCGAGGTTATGCGCAGAAAAATCTAGGCGGGCCGCAGTCAAAACTTAGCGAAAAGGGACAATCTCAACATTCAGAATGAGAAAAGGACAGCATGACTGTAGTGCGTCTCACTCAGCGTTCAGGCGATGTTGCCTTTTTTGCTTGCCTTCGCAGCACAGTTCGAGTGACGTAATCAAGCTAACGCTTGATTCTGACTACGATTCTGTAAGAGCCCGTGTTGGGACAGCGACGTTGTCCAGAGTCCCGTTAGGTACTGTCATAAAACATCTGGGGCCCTTATGACGACGGGAATTGGCAAGGGCCTGATCGTCCTCACCCCCTCGCTACGGCGATGACGACCAGGCCTTGGAAAGCGGAAGGCTAAGGGTTTTCCAAAAAGAGTGGGGCGCGGATCTTCCTTTTAAGGAACGGAAAAAGCGCGCCGGGGGCAGAAGTAAACAGAACAGACAACGGTATTGACTGCGTGTAGCGATCAGGAACGGAGAGTGTTGAACGAACATTAAAATATATCCTGACAACCTTTGGACTTTTATTTAAACACCCCTTACAATTCCAAATCGGCAGCCTTTCTACTTAGACGCCACCTTATAACTACTAGCTGAACTAAATTTGTCACGTGAAATTTGCTCTGTAGTATCCAGATAATGGCGGAACTCATCTTTGGGAATGCTTTTACGGGAATACACTTTTCGTCCTCATATGAGAAGATTTTGATCTAAATAACGGTTCATTCGAAAGAGGAAGGTTCAATGCAGGGCGGTCTGGTCACCGTTTGAGTCACGGAACTGTTTTAGTGACCTAAAAAGTACTTGGAATCTGCGGATGTATTTTGTCGATTTTTCCTCTACTTTGGACACTCATATTATTAGATATCAACACAATCGCGTTGAACCATGACAAGACCGCCCTGCATTGGACCTTCCTCTTTCGAATGAGCCCTCACCCAGCCCTAAATCTTCTCATATAAGGACGAAAAGTGTATTCCCGTAAACCCCTGTTTAGGCCCATTTTTGCCGGTAATGTCACCTCGTTGCATTATCCGTG